ACTAAAATAACTAATTCTTCAATCATTTTTCTCTGTTTGTTACACATTGTTTCCCCCAACACATGGCTTGTAATAAAATTGCTGGAAATAATATTTGGAAAATGATTAGTTGCAAAGGCTTGGTTATTTATGTCTATAAATTATTCTTTGCTTTATATGATCCAAGAGACATAAAAAAACAATTTGATGTGATGGTCATGAAAAAACAATTTGATCTGATGGTCATAAATAAATAAGAATGTGCACAAAAGTTTTCGATATGATGGTCATAAATAAACAAGGATGTGCATAAAGGGAGAAAAGGGTGTGTAAAGATGAGCACAAAAGAAAGGAAATGGTTTGTACGACTAGGGTCCAAGAAGCTCAAGGAGGAGGAGGCAGTGCTCCATGAAGCTTTAAAGGTTGTGCATTTCTTTCCTTCACTCTACGTTACATTGTCGTCTTTTCATTCTTTGGATCGGTATGTGCTCTGTATCTTGAGGCGGAATTTGCTCATTATCGTTATGGTTTTGCTGTCTGAAGATTAAATGTTTAAAAATTGTATGTTGTTGTCGTTAAAAAATAATTTTCTTTTCTCTTGCTGGAAAGTTGATGCTTGAGTTGTTTGAGCAAGAGGAGGAGAAGAAGAAGTAGCTAGAACTAGAAGACGATGAGGAAAGTGTGAAACTTTGAAAGAAGCATTTTTTAATATTTTGGGTTTGACGCTCTAACTTTGACAACATCGTAGAGTTTTTTGAATTAAAAGAAGCATTTTAAGTTGTCATAAACAAACTGCCTGCCAAATGAAGTGAGGGGAAGAAGTGAAACCGGGATTCCCGTCTAAAAATTACTTGCTTCGGGTGCTATTTTCCATTCTTAAAATGACACTCAAAACTTAAAATGACCTTGGAAGAATTGCATGATGAAATTTGTGGTTTGTAGAGTGATTTCCACTATATAAAATGAGAATTACATTGTACATAAGGGCTTGTTTTTAGAGAGGTTATGGTTTGACATCCTCCTAAAGTGAAGGTGAAAGATCATTTTTATAAAAAAATAAGGGTTTCCTTCCCCTTTTATAGATGTCATAGGCTAAGTAATGAGGCCCAAATATTGAGGCTTTATATACGGTACAACATGAGTCCCCCATGTCTTCAGTCTAGAGAATCTTTTGGCTGGAGAAGTGACTAGATGTTGTCGAGAGTCAATCATTGGCATGAGGCTGGTAATGATGAATGTGTGATAATTGATGATGATTTGGAAGGAGATGCCGATGATGAAACAGATGAAAATAAATCAATAATGTCGATGATGCTTACCATCAATATCCACCATCCCAATCAGTATGACATTATATATATTGTGCAACAAGGTTTGGATGAGGAAATTGATATGATGTTGGAAGAATTGTAGGATGAAATTGGTTGGTTTCTTATCTTTGAACTTCTATGTATAATTGTAGCCGACCCTACACTTAACCCTAGATTGGTATATGTCATCCTATTTCATGCACAAAAACTAGTGGGTCCTAGGTTATAAACCATTGGGATATTACATAGTGTGAAGATGCAAATGAAGGTGTGATAATCAATTATGATTACTTCAAGGATTACATGCATCAATTCCTATGACTTTGATCTTTTACATTGTAACCCTAAGTGTTGTGGCTGCTGCTGAGGTTCAGCTGGTCTTGCTGCGTTGAGCCTGATAATGTTGAAGGTGTGATAATCGATGATGACAATGATGGTGATGATTTAGAAAGAGATGTCGATGATGAAGTGGGGGAAATGAGGCAATAATGTCGATGATGATGACAATGGGGGACGAGTGGGAGTACTCGTTCGAATCGTTGGTTATGTTCTAAATGATTTTGTCACTTGTATTGGTGTTGAGCAAATCCTCAATAATTTCGCCCTAGATGAGCGAGTGCGAGAAGAGTTGGTGTGCCACCTGCTTACCAACAATATCCACCCTCCATTTGGCTACGTAAAGCCTGACGATGATGAAGGCTTGATAATCAATGATGATAATTTGGAAGAAGATGATGGTGAAATGGAGGAAGATGCAATAATGTCGCCGATGATGACAATGGGGGAGGAGTAGGCACGGTTTGAATGGTTTTGTCACTCATATTGATGTTGAGCAAATCCTCAATAATGTTGCACTAGATGAGTTAGTTAGTGCACCACTTGCTTACAAACAATATCCACCTTACCTATCAGTATAACACTATATATGTTGTGCAACAAGGTTTGGATGAGAAAATTGATATGACCTTAGAAGAATTGCAGGATGAAATTTGTTGGTTTCTAGAGCCAATTTCAACTATATAAAATGAGAGTTACATTGTACATAAAGGCTTGTTTCTAGAGAGGGTATATGGTTTGACATTGTCTTAAAGTGAAGGTGAAAAATCCTTTTTATAAAAACAAGGGTTTCCTTCGTTGTCATCATCAGCTATAAAATGGGAAGGAAACCTTGTTTTTATAAAAAGGATATTTCGGGATGTCAAACCCTAACATCTCTAGTAACAAGCCTCTACGTAAAATGTAACTCTTATTTTATATGATGAAAATCGACTCTACAAACCAACAAGTTTCATCCTGCAATTCTTCCAAGGTCATATCAATTTTTCTCATCCAAACTTTGTTGCACAACATATATAGTGTTATATACTAATCGGTAAGGTGGATATTGTTGGTAAGCAAGTGGTACATCAACTCATATCGCACTCATTCATCTAGTGCAACATTATTGATGATTTTGCTTAACATCAAACCATAACCAACTATTTTGAAAGGGTATGCCTACTTCTCCTCCATTGTCATCATCAGCTACATTATTGCATCTTCCTCCAAATTATCACGCCTTCATGATCGTCAGTAAATTATCATGCCTTCACTATCAGCTACAAGATTTCTTTCGTCGTTTGGATGAAGCGATAAATCGATTATGCAAGTTGAATGAAACTCCACCCCCATTATATCGAACTATTGTTCCAGAACAACTTGTAGGTCGAGCAGTAGGTCGTTTGTTTGCATCTTCACACCGTGTAATGTCTAATTGGTTTATAACCTGGCGATATGGACCATGATATGTGATGACATTTACCCATCTGGTTTATATCCTAAACCACGGAGGAATATAGGGACTAGAAACCAACACTTGATCATCAATTTCTTCTAATGTCATATCAATTTAATGCAGACCCTATTACACAACATAGATAATGTTATAGTGCTCAGGCGGGTGGATATGATTGGGAAGTCGGTAACGAACCAACTCATCTTGCACTCATTGATCAAGCGCAGCAGCATTTGGGACTTGTTCAAGATCAATATGAGCGACCAACTCGTGCATACCATAACCAACAATTTCAACAGGTACTCCTACTCCTCCCCCATTGCAATCATCACCATTATCGTCCTCATCTTCTTCCATTTCATCATCGGCGTCCCCTTCTAAATCATCACCATCATCTATTAGCACACCTTCATCATCAGGGTCTGCAAGGCCAGCTGTCATTGCCACAACTGCTGCAGCATAAGAGACAAAATGCAAAGGCTTTTCAACATTGTTGCTAGATTTTGACTTGACATCTTCATCTCTATGCACTAACTAAGACATAATTAAGTTTAATTGCCTGAAACATACAGAAAATGACAACTTAATAGGAATGAGCATTACTCATAAAACAAAAACAATCAGACCATAACCAACTATTTGAATGAGTGCTCCTACTCGTCCCCCGTTGTCATCATCATCGACATTATTCCTTTATTTCATCATCGACATCTCCTTCCAAATCATCATCATTGTTTATCACACCTTTATTTGCATCTTCACACTATGTAATATCTCAATGGTTTATAACCTAGTACTCACTGGTTTTTTGTGCATGAAATAGGATGACATATACCAATCTAGGGTTAAGTGTGGGGCTGGTTTCTTATCTCTTAACTTTTACGTATAATTGTAGCCAACCCCACACTTAACCCTAGATTGGTATATGTCATCCTGTTTCATGCACAAAAACCAGTGGGTACTAGGTCATAAACCATTGAGATATTACATAGTGTGAAAATGCAAATAAAGGTGTGATAATCAATGATGATGATTTGGAAGGAAATGGCGATGATGAAATAGAGGAAAATAAATGAATAATGTCGATGATGATGACGACGGGGGACAAGTAGGAGCACTCATTCAAATAGTTGGTTATGGTATGATTGTTTTCTAAGTAATGCTCATTCCTATTAAGTTGTTATTTTCTGTATCTTTCAGGCAATTGAACTTAATTCTATCTAAGTTGGTGCATAGAGATGAGGATGTCAAGTCAAAATCTAGCAGCAATGTTGAAAAGCCTTTGCATTTCGTCTCTTATGCTGCAGCCATAGGCGCTGCAGCAGCTGTCGTGGCAATGACAGCTGGCCTTGCAGACCCTGCCGGCGCAGACCCTAATGATGAAGGTGTGCTAATAGATGAAGCTGATGGTGATGATTTGGAAGGGGACACCGATGATGAAATGGAAGAAGATGAAAACGATAATGGTGATGATTGCAATGGGGGAGGAGTAGGACTACCTGTTGAAATTGTTGGTTATGGTATGCACGAGTTTCACTCATATTGATCTTGAACAAGTCCCAAATGCTGCTACGCTAGATCAATGAGTGCAAGATGAGTTGGTTCGTTACCCACTTCCCAATCATATCCACCCGCCTGAGCACTATAACATTATCTATGTTGTGCAATAGGGTCTGCATTAAATCGTTATGACATTAGAAGAAATGGATGATCAAGTTGTTTGGTTTCTAGTCCCTATATTCCTCCGTGGTTTAGGAATATAAATCAGATGGGTAGATGTCATCACATATCATGGTCCATATCGCTAGATTATAAACCAATTAGACATTACACGATGTGAAGATGCAAACGACCTGCTGCTCGACCTACAAGTTGTTCTGGAACAATAGTTCAATATAATGGAGGTGGAGTTTCATTCAACTTAGCATAATCGATTTATCGCTTCATCCAAATGACGAAAGAAATCTTGACGATGGTGAAGGCGTGATAATTGATAATTTACCGACGATAATGAAGGCGTGATAATTGATGATGATAATTTGGAAGGAGATGTCGATGGTGAAATGGAGGAAGATGCAATAATGTAGCTGATGATGACAATGGAAGAGAAGTAGGCATACCCTTTCAACTAGTTGGTTACGGTCTGAATGGTTTTGTCACTTATATTGATGTTAAGCAAATCATCAATAATGTTGCACTAGATTAATAAGCACGAGATGAGTTGATGTACCACTTGCTTACCAACAATATCCACCTTACCGATTAGTATAACACTATATGTTGTGCAACAAAGTTTGGATGAGAAAATTGATATGACCTTGGAAGAATTGCAGGATGAAACTTGTTGGTTTGTAGAGTCAATTTTCATCATATAAAATAAGAGTTACATTTTACGTAGAGGCTTGTTACTAGAGATGTTAGGGTTTGACATCCTCCTAAAGTGAGGGTGAAATATCCTTTTTATAAAAACAAGGTTTCCTTCCCCTTTTATAGATATCACTAGAAATTACGCCCGCGCTGGGAACCAGCTGTTTCAAGCGTAATCGGATGAATAAAACACATTTAAGTTGAATAAATTCAACACAATTATGAACAAATCGTTCAAAATTAAAACCCTAAACCTCCACATAACCCAATACACAACCAAGGAGTCTACACAGATTCAAGTTTCCATATTCACAGATAACTATATTTCCATCACTTTCTCAACAACCGAACAAAAAATAACTGAAAAAGTGGAAAATGCTACCTTCCTCAGAATAAGGTCCAGAGGCTGCCTCAGATTTTGAGTCACATAACTAAGGTTGATTACTGCTAAATGCAAAGAAGAGAAAATACATGTTATTACCTATACAAAAAGCACAATAACCAACAGGGTTTCACTCTAATATGTTATTAATTATATTACAACAAAATAAACTGAAGCAAACAAATCTGAAAACAGGGCTAACCATTGAATTCTCAGGGTTTGAGCTTCTTGGTTTCTGGTTTACATGATGATCTGCTTACTTTGTCACATTCAACTCTCGAGCATTTTCAGATAAAAAAAATCTTCACAAAAAAAGTATCTAATTTCACAAAATATATGAAACCTAAATCAAATTTCTTGATAAAACTAAGAATAACTCCACAAATTACTAACTTGTAAAAAAAATTCAAAATCCCAGATTAAATTTCAACTTTAAAAACCCCAATTCGGACAATATATCCACAATACCTCCAAGACGCTCACCTTAACAGAATGAACAAAAACTTCCCATCCCTAAATGTCAACCTCAACGTTTCAGACTCACTAAATTCTAGTGTTTCTTCAGCTTTTCTAGCAATGTGGTAGTTTCTGTGTGCGTGTGTGAGCTGAGAGAGAGAGAGAGAGAGAGAGAGAGAGTTGTGAGTATTTATATCAAAGGGCATGTAAGAAAACATTTGGATTTGATCAACTACAAAAAAGAATAACCAACTGCATTATAATAACATCATTGTCTCACTAAAATAAACTCGCCAAAAATAGTATCTGTGGTTAAAGGGATGCACAAAGCACACACCCTTGAAACTCAATCCCTATTATTGCATTCATATATCCTATGCATATATTACAATGAAACATCAATATTAATCGCTAAAAAAAAGTATCATGCATATTTAAGCTCAATCCTTTTTGTAAATTTAGTGCAAAGAGATGCTTGCAATAAATAGGAAAGCAAATCTTTTTGTGCACATTGCAGCTATCTCAGCTAATTCCTAATCCAACAGTACATATTTTCTCTAACAACAAATCTTTTCCCTTTCCACCACTTTTCACTTGTGTCATTATCTCAGTAGAGAGGGTGATGGCAAACAAATGACAAAATAAAAAGTTAAAAAAAAAAAATCCCAACTACCAGATTCAGTCAAATGCATACAACAACAACAACAACAAAACCTTTTCCCACAAAATGGGGTCGGCTATATGAATCCTAAAACGCCATTGCGCTCAGTTTTGTGTCATGTCCTCCGTTAGATCCAAGTACTCTAAGTCTTTTCTTAGGGTCTCTTCCAAAGTTTTCCTAGGTCTTCCTCTACCCTTTCGGCCCTGAACCTCTGTCCCGTAGTCACATCTTCGAACCGGAGCGTCAATAGGCCTTCTTTGCACATGTCCAAACCATCGTAACCAATTTTCTCTCATCTTTCCTTCAATTTCGGCTACTCCTGCTTTACCTCGGATATCCTCATTCCCAATTTTATTCTTTCTCGTGTGCCCACACATCCCACGAAGCATCCTCATCTCCGCTACACCCATTTTGTGTACGTGTTGATACTTCACCGCCCAACATTCTGTGCCATACAGCATCGCTGGCCTTATTGTCGTCCTATAAAATTTTCCCTTGAGCTTCAGTGACCTACGACGGTCACAGAACACGCTGGATGCACTCTTCCACTTCATTCATTCAGCTTGTATTCTATGATTAAGATCTCCATCTAATTCTCCGTTCTTTTGCAAGATAGATCCTAGGTAGCGAAAACGATCGCTTTTTGTGATATTCGCTAGATTGCTCTGGTCATTAGCGTGGATAAGTATATAAATGGATAGAGACAGGAAAGCAAACACAAGATGTACGTGGTTTACCCAGATTGGCTACGTCCACGGAATAAAGGAGTTCTCATTAATTGTGAATGGTTTACACAAGTACATAGGTTCAAGCTCTCCTTTAGTGAGTACAAGTGAATGATTTAGTACAAATAACATTAGGAAATATTGTGGGAAAATGATCTCGTAATCACGAAACTTCTAAGTACCGAAGTGTGGTATCATCTTCACTTGCCTTAATAGTCTCATAGGTAAATGTGGCATCTTCTCTGGAAGTACTGTTCCTCCATCCAGGGGTGGTATCTTTAACTGGTGGAGATGCACAAGGTAATGTATCAATTTCACTTGAAGCTTACTTGTAGTTTCAAGCTTGGTCAAGCGCGATACAAACCATGTAGTAAGAGTCCCCCAAGTCGCCGAGTTAGGGAATCTGCTGAAAGAGGTGACAGACAAGGTAAGCAATCAGAGCTCCAAGCAATCAGTCCCAAATCAAAAGTTTGATTTCGAGTTCCGGCTGATTGTTCTCATTCTCCCTATCTTGCAGGCAGCATGAAGGATAAAGAGAAGAAAGACGAGAAGAGATGATATAAGATACTTTTGCTTTTGAAGAAGTAACTTTCCACAGACTTATTCTTGAACTGGGCTGAAGGGTTTTCTAGTTTCCTCCAAAGTATAAGGCCGACTGAAAAATTTGAGGGTCAAAACAAGTCCATCAAATCTAGAGTACATTCGACCCTGCTGATATGGGATACTTTTGCTTTTGACAGAGTAGTGGATGTATCAGCACGTGTGCTGTTACGCTTGTCTCCACATGCTTCCTTGTATCCTTCTCACTTGCCCTATCTGTTCCTCAGGCAAATGCGGTATCTTCCCTGGAAGAGCATAAGATGTTGAAAATGAGTACTCGATAGCAATGCCAGGTAAGTAATCAGGTAAGAGGTTCCAGGCAGTTAGTTCCTGACTGGAAGCTTAATTCCAAGTGCTGACTGATTGCTCTCTTTCTCCTTGTTTTGCAGGTAAGAACAAGGCCAAAGGAAAAGACAGGGAAAAAGCATGATATAGGATACTTTTGCTTTTAACCCTGATGATATGAGATATTCTTGCTCTGGTATAGCTTGTTTGCAGAGGTATTATCGGGAGGAAAGAAAGCTGAATATTTCGAAAGGCTTCGTTGGGAGTGCCCTCTCAGATACGAGGAAGGGTTGAGCATTTTTGCAGGTCTGCCTGTCCGTTGGGGATGGAGGTCGACATATATAGGAGTCTCCCTAACAACAAGTAGTAATGCTATTCCTTTACCCTGCTTAGTCATAGCACGGTAATGGGAGCTGCCAGCTTCACATGTTTTAACTCTGTCAGAGAACTTGGAAAAAGTGGTCTGTGGTATCTGGAAAGTTGATGTTGCGTGTGAAGATTACAGACAAGCTTTATCCAAGGAGATCTGGCTCTCGAAGTTGGGAAAGTGGTGCCTCTTCGGTTTTCGAACAAGCAATTTTGTCGGGGATCTGACTCGAGATTCGAAGAACGATGCCTCTTCAATTTTTGAGAAAGCAATCCTGCTGGGGGTCTGACTCTCGAGATTCGGAGAACGATGCCTCTTAAATTTTTGAGAAAGCAATCCTGCTGAGGGTCTGGCTCTCGAGATTCGGAGAGCGGTGTCTCTTTGATTTTTGAGAAAGTAATCATGTTGGGAGTCTGGCTCTCGAGATTCAAAGGGCGGTGCCTCTTCAATTTTGGAGCAAGCAATCTTGTTGGGAGTGTTTTCTCGAATGTGAGTAAAGGTTGAGCATGTTTGCTAGTCTACCTTGCCACGGAGCACAGAGGTTGACACACAAGGACTTTCCAATTATCCAGCAGTGGTACTGTTCCTTTACCCTTGTGGGTAATAATATGGTAGCTAGACCTTCAAAATTTATGTGTCTAAACTTTGTTAGTGCTGTTTGTTTACTATTCTTCTACCCTTCTTGGTCAGAGCGATGTAGTAGGAGCTGCAAACTTCACGTGTCTCAACTTTGTCAGAGAACTTTGGCAAAGTTATCTGTGGTACCCATGAGCTAATGTTGCATGTGGGAAGTGAGTGATTGAACAGTAAGATTCATGTGTTTTCTACTTCACCAGAAATCTTCGACAGAATGCCCATAATTTCCGCAAAGTTGAGTGTGCATGTGACAGGTGCTGACAGGGCTGAAAAAGTAGGTGCCTCTTCGATTTCTGAGATCGACCCTCGTGGTCTCTGAGCAGCCCAGCTTTTGAGAAAGTAAGCGCCTCTTCGATTTCTGAGATCGGCATTCGTGGTCTTTGAACAGCCCAGCTTTTGAGAAAGCAAATCGATTTTTGAGATCGACCCTCGTGGCCTCTGAGCAGCCCAGCTTTTGATAAAGCAAACGCCTCTTTGATTTCTGAAGCTCCATCGGATTTTTATAGAGGCTGGCATTAAGTTCCAAAGCACACTTGAATCTCCACCAGTAGAAGCTCCATTCTTGCACTTCTAAGATATTGATTTGTCCGACCTCTTCTCTCTTCAACACCTTTGAAAATGTCTGGCCCCTCCGACCGTCGTTTTGACTTGAACCTTGTTGAAGAGGCAGCCACGCCTTCTCCAGACAACATATGGCGCCCATCTTTCGTCTCCCCTACTGGTCCACTTACCGTTGGGGATTCCGTGATGAAGAATGATATAACCGGTGCGGTGGTGGCCAGGAACCTTCTCACTCCCAAAGATAACAGACTACTTTCCAAACGGTCTGATGAGTTGGCTGTTAAGGATTCTCTGGCTCTCAGTGTTCAGTGTGCAGGTTCTGTGTTTAATATGGCACAACGCCTATTTGCTCGAACTCGCCAAATTGAATCATTAGCGGCTGAAGTGATGAGTCTCAAACAGGAGATTAGAGGGCTCAAGCATAAGAATAAACAATTGCACCAGCTCGCACATGACTATGCTACAAACATAAAGATGAAGCTTGACCAGATGAAGGAATCTGATAGTCAAGTTTTACTTGATCATCAGAGGTTTGTGGGTTTGTTCCAAAAGTATTTATTGCCTTCGTCTTCTGGGGCTGTACCGCGTAATGAAGCTCCAAATGATCAACCTCTGATACCTCCTTCTTCTAGGGTTTTGTCCAGTACTGAGGCTCCGAATGATCCCCCTCCGATGCCTTCTCTTTCTGGGGCTCTACCGACTGCTAAAACTTCTCCTAAGCAACCTTTGTGAAGGCTCCCTCTTGTTTGTTTATTTTGACTTATGTATATGTAAGTCAACTCCTTGCATACATGCTACTATGAAATCAATCCAGGATACTAATTATCCTTTTAAAATCATATAATAAAAGGGAGGGGAGAAGAAGATGGCTTTGCAGCATTTCATAAATATTTGTCAACCAAAAAAAGGAGACAGAATGGGCAAAACCTTCTCAATCAAATCCAGAACATCTTGGTTGTCAATGTAGCTCCAATCAATTTCCTCTTTGCTATACTCCTCCTGCTCCATCTTGAACACATGCTGGAACAAGTGGGAACGAAGTTAGAATACAATAATTATTAATAACATAAAATGATAAGAGTATGTTAATTTCATAAAACATTAATGCACCGCACACCTCATTAAAGTGTTGCTGTAGCTTCTCATTTGCAAAGTTAATGCAAAATTGCTCAAAACTGTGGAAAAGGAAAACCTAAATTAACCAAAGGAATAATGTACAATCGCAAGGATACTCTTATAATAATAGACTAGAGTTTGACTTTTGACAAGACAGAAATAAAACAATAATAATAAGGATGATATAGGTTGAAAGAGTAAAACTTGAGTAGAGAGAGACTATGACTATCACCAACTAACAGATCAGCTGGGATGTCAAAAGTCCAATCACCTTATGAATTACAGTGACAAACAAGAAGCAGAAACACACATGACACTAACTCATTTACAATACACATATATACCCTCTGGACAAGTCAAAGCGACATGACCACTTACTATACAAAATTTCAATGGCACTTAGATAGTATTCCAAATCCAAATTTAAGACTCGTATATTTAAAATTGAAATAGATATGGGTAAAGATCTCACCTATTGTCCTTAAAGCATTCAAAACCATAAATGTCCAAGACTCCTATTTGCATTTGGGAAGTCGAGTCTTGGCCAACAGATGTATTAATCTTATCAACAAGCCTGTGAAAATATCCAAACCCAAATAAGGTAAAGAAGAATCTTCCCAGACGAGTTAAGAAAATGAAGTTCCTGTGGGGAATGTTGATGAAACCATACCAGTCAAACAACCGAGAATAAACAGTCTTTGCCAATGCATCTCTACTAGAAATAGCACCACTACAGTCGAGAGCTTTAACAATAATTCCTTCACGAGTTTGGATTGTACGAGTAGACAGTGTTGCTAATAAGAGGTCCACATCACACCTGATTTATTAAGCAACTCTAAATTAAATTATCGAATGCAAGTTGTATATATGAGATAGTTTGGGCAGGAACTTTCTTTAGCATGTTCCTATCACAAAATGCAATAGAGTGATTAAGTTACAGGCAACATTCTAGATGTATCTCCTGACTCATAATATGCACGGATTGCATTATATAGTCCATGAAGATACTCCCTCAGTAAATTACAAAAAAAAAAACAAAAAATCTCGGAATTGAATGTTCACTCATAAAATATTAAAGAAACCGACAGGATATTAAACCATTCAGTTTGTTCAAAGTTAGTAAGGGAAAGTAAAAATTCAAGTTCAAGCTATATAAATCACCTACATGAAAAGTTTAGCAGCCATCTGCATATGAAAGTTCGATTTCTGATCCTTTAGAACTGAAGAGTCGTGCTCTTTCCCAGGAGAAAATTCAATGTTCCCCAAATGCAGAATTGCAGCCAAGGTGCGGAATATTGCTTCCTAAAAAGGTAGAAAAATGAATCTCAGAAACACCCAAGAGCGGAAGTGAAGGGAAAAAAAAGTATTCATCTTAAAGCGCCATCCACTTGGATTAAGTTTTAAACCTGATCTTCACGGCTGATACCAACAATATCCATTGCTGTTCTTGTCTTCGTATACTCTTCTGCACTGCTCACTCCATCAAGTTCATAAGTCTTGCTTTGATTCAGGTAATGGAAGTGGCTTGGGTGGTCTAACTTGTACTTCTCTGCATCCTATACGTATGGAGAATCCAGAGAACAATATCCATGAGCTTCAATAGAGTACACGACTGATGGTCATATGTGAACCATGATGATACATAGAAATGGGTGTAAAAAACACATGTATACACATACACAACTTGAAACATCCTGGGATGCATAAGGAAAACTTGACGCATGTATACACACAAACACTCAATGATAAACAGCTAATTGACTATAGATGCTCAGATATTTACAATGGTAACTGTGTGATAAATCCATCCAATCACAGACACAAAGAGTACCTTTCCAGATGCGCACAACTGGTAAAAACAGTGGTAATTCCTTTCAGGATCTGTAATCTGAACAACACGGGATCTTTCCAGTAGATAAGTTCTAATTGCAGCTCCAGATATTCTACCACTTGCATCAAACTGGATCTCAACAAACTTGCCAAAACGACTGCCTCAAAGAAGAATGACAATTGAAGGAAAATCATTTTCACTTCAAAAACTAAAATGAAAATAAGCATGACATTTACCAAATTGCCAGAAAAACTAAAATCATTATTAGTAGTTAATGATATACTACTAAACTGATTAGCAATTACAATAATAAATATCCCAATTATTGTTGGATACAGTAAACAACAAGTTCATTAATGAATAATGTTATCTATTAAAAAGGGCAGAAACAGTTCAGTAATTATATTCTATATCCTCCCCTACATCCTCCAATTATAATTACCTTCAAGGTATTTACTTTATACTAAGTAAAAGCCAAGACCTAGTTCTTTTCATTAATCCATACTCTTCCTGCATTGCCCTCACTCTCTGATCTCAATTTTCAACTAACCAGCATAACTTTTACCCCATTCTTTTATCATCAAGAAAGCATACATGTGCCTCAACCGAAAGTGTGAGAATTTCAAATTTTTACATACCAAATTAGTGATATTTCAGGAGAAGAATAAACATATAGCACACCTTGAATTGTCATTTCTAACAGTCCTGGCATTACCAAATGCCTCCAAAAGGGGATTCGACTGAACCATGCACCAAAAAGAATCAGTGACACATTAAAGGCAACAAGACAATAAAATTTAAAAACAATTTCTAACAAAAATATAAAAAACTAAATTGACCAATTTTCTCAGTAAAAATGAAGAAGATCAATTCTTTTTCTCAAGTGTTGGACCATGACGAAGACCAAACTGGTCAAAAAAAAATTATTTAACTCAACCATAACTTCTCCGCTGCCAAAATTTAGTGGCAAAATGAAAAACCCTTATCTATAACAGTGTGAATTTATTTCTACTCTTATTCAGAGTTGATATTTGTTTGAATGGAGGTTGATCTTACTTCAAGAACTTGTTGTTCAACAGTTCTCTCATCACCAGCACCAGCAGCTTGGCCTCCTACATAAGTAAGATACTGCATAATCAGTTTCGTCGTTTCAGTCTTCCCAGCTCCACTTTCACCACTGACCAGTATTGATTGGCTTTGTCCATCATTCACCATTGCTCTGGATTACAAAATCCAGAAAAGCTAACTTGAGTCATTCAATGGAATAGCAAAGTACAAAAAAGGTCAAGACTCAATTATCATAAAATTGGCATACCTATAAGACGCATCAGCCACGGCAAAAACATGGAGGCTTAGCTCACCAAATGGAGCTCCCTTATACTGCTCCATCATATGGACATTGTATAGATGGGGAAGCTTTGTGAATGGGTTAACCGCAATCAAAATGCTCCCTGTATATGTCTACCAACGACAAAAGAAAACAATCACTTCAATTCCGAAAGTAGGTCGCGTAAACCAATTTTAATAATATGAAAATATAAAAGGAAAAATTTTTAGTATACCACATTTTCTACGCTGGTTTATGATATTATCAATTTATCATTATCTCATCTAGAAATGATGGCGTCAAACATGACAAGTGAAATACCAATTCCATTATAACACTCAATATGATCACTTTCCTATACATTTAACAGCAGTCAATTTAAGTCCTCCCAACTCTCCGGTTGAAATCAAGGATATTTTGGGGTTATACTTAACATTTCTAGAATAGGTCAATTCACGTCAACTCGTCTGCTAGTAAGCCTCATCCAGGGCTAACGGAGAACCAGTAGCACGCCAAGTGTAAGCCATCAATGAGACAATCAATAGCCAATTTGAAAATTTTCGCAAGCATTTAAGCCGATCCACGGTTTAACAAATCATCATCAATCCTAGATGACATAGCACAATGTGGCACATAAAAGCCCCTTCACAAACTAGCCGTATCACTCCAATTATACAAATTGCACACAAAAATCGACTCACATATATATCATTGAGAGCGTATCCCCTCTGAAGGTTATACACCACTCCGCCATGCTCGTCCTCATCCGCATCCCTCAGAAACAGCTTCTCCGGCAAAGCCAAAACCTACACTCCCAAAACCCCCACAATCAACACAAAAATACCCAAATTTCATACACACTAATCAGTAATTACACACAAAAACCGAGGGCAAACGTTTCACTTCACCTTCTTTCCCGAAGCGGTGACGACCTGGAGCTGCTTCCCCTTCCAGTCGGCGACTTCAGCCGGGACCCAGGCCAAATCCCGGTCCTCGACCCAGACCTTGGAGCCCCGGCGGAGGCTCATCTCGGAGGACCCCCGGCGGGAAATTTCAGTTGCTGACAGAGAACCAGAAACCCTAGAATTCGGTTGGAGAAGACGACAAGCGGCGGAAGAGCGGAAATCGTGAGAGGTTTAGAAAGAAACAGAGAAGGACAAAGTAGAGAGAGAGAGTTTTGGGTGAAAATTTTGGGTTCCCGCCCTAACAGGTATAGAGTAGGAGTCCGAAATGGCGGATTTGTGAGGACCACTATGCTAATAAATTCTACAATGCAATTTCAAGATCTAATTTCCTTCCCGCCCTAATTAGGTGCTGCATCAATGGTGATTTGTGAAGACCACTATGCTAATAAATTCTACAATGCAATTTCAAGATCTAATTGCAACAACTCGAAACCCTAGCAAAACGATCAAACGAATCAAGAAAGAGACCTCAAGAGCGGGGATCATTTTTCTTTGAATATGAATCCGCATCATGTACCCAACTACGATATAAATCCTCATAAATCCATTTCTGGAAAGTACTAAAATATCCAAAACAAATATGTGTGTGTGTTGTATCAGCATGAATATGAGGCATTGAATGGTAAATTGGATGAGCAAGTCTAAACATACCAGTGATGGCGAGTGGTGAGGATGAGCTTGATACCGACACCATGTTCTTGGGCTGCTTTCAGAACCTTCTCATATTCAATTGGATCCACAACCGTTGCTTTTTTGGTACTCTCGCCAATAATTCTAATCACCAATAACATAGTTAAATTTTCTCTGAGTCGTATAGCAACTCATAGGGTAATAGCAAATGAACATTGATACAAAACTTGAATTAGACAGGTATAATATTATTCTCCTTAAAAGAATAACTATTTGTAAGATCATACCTTTGACTTTGGTTGGGAGTGTGGTCTCTCTGTCACTTTTGTATTGGATTTTGCGGGCAATTTATGTGAAAAGTGAAATATATTGCTTAAAGCGATTACATATATGGCTATTAAAAAAATTGCAATCAAAGCATGGATTAATAATTACCTCAACAGCTAATGGAACCAAAGCCAAAACCCAGAGCTTCGAAAGGCAGAAAAGATCAAAGAAACAGGAATAGTCCTTCTTCCTTCCCCACTGCTGCTGCTGCCACTTTCTCTCTCTAAAAACCAATTGGGAATTGTTTAGTGAGAGACATAGAGGAGAGAGTGATGAGGATTGAACGAAAGAAGTACAAAAAAACCTAAAAGAACATAGACAAAATTAAAGTTAATTACTTACAAATTCTAAATTCTAAACCCACAAAACCCAAAATAAAGACAAAATTCAGAATTCATAACAAAAGAAAACCCAAATTAAACACAAAATTAAGGTGCCTTCGGAGGCATAAGCTTAAGAACGCAAGAAATTGGAACTTTCCAAAAGCGCAGACAGAGAGAGAAAATAAAAATGGGGGTATATTTTGGAACTCACAATAGGAGTTTTGAAGAAGGCACAGAAAGAAGATCTGCGACGCAGATTTAATCATGATGGAACAGGGTTGTACAATTACTGTGAAAATCAAAACTCAATTAACAAAAAATATATGATAGAACTTGAGCATTTCCTAGTGAGAAAACCACCAAAAGAAAAAGAAGATATTAACTTCCATAAACACATTCCTCTTATGAACTCGAAAAACGATATTCAATTGTAAGTATAGTCTTGTATGATAGTTTCCTAAGGTCTCTTAATCTCAAAACAACATCTCTGCTGTAAATAATGGTCAAGCCTGTAGCCCAAAATTAGTAGTAGGATTCTAGGCATGAATCCATCAACTATCGAACTACCCGATCTACCAAGAACAAATCACACTTTTTTCAATGGTGACGATGAATTTTCAGAAGTTACAGAAGATTTTTTATCAATTGAAAAGACAATGGTCATATAAACATCAAAATCCAACAGAAACACAAAGCAACGTACCAGTTCTCTATCTTATATGCTGTTTTCAGGTGGATCTTCCTAACTCATCCCAGAAAACCGTGCATATAGTTCACCTGCAAGCATCATCCCACAACCAGAGTTCATGAAAATTCTAAAGAAAATAAATCCGTTAGCAATTTAGAGAAATTGGAGGACCAAATCATATTAAATTTGAGTTAAATGAGCAAAGGTACACCGATTAAATAAGATACTAAACACATTTTGAATCTATGAAATAGAAGAAGAATTAAATAAGGACCAAATCCTTTTCCTCTCCCTTCTTTCTCTGTTTCAATTGCTTTCAAATGACAGACAAATACAACCACCATACATATAATCACATTTTCGGTTCCCCCAAGAACTAAAGCTGAAAAACAAAGTAGACTTCCAAAATCAAAATAATTTATTTTACCATGCTCAACGTGCTGGAAACCCAAAAGAAAAAAAAAAACAGAAATGAAAGCAAAGGGAATAACTTCAATCACAAATGGACTTAAAGCACTCAATTCAGTGAATTCATTATTCTTCTATCCTTTTTTCCCTCAATTTTCTTGGAAACCAAACAGAAAATTAGAATTGAGTTAAACGTTATTCAAAATGGAGAAAAGTGCCAATTCCCTATCACTCAATTTCTAATATCAAACAAACAAAATTAATCCAAACTCAAAACAACATTAAACATAAATATTCAAACTTTACTACCTTTTAGCTCTCTAATTTACTCTCAATATACACGAACAAAGTTGAGGATTCACTTTATGATAGCCATCCAACCGAAATCACACAAAATCAACAAATCATTGACAAAAACACTCATGGAGTTCTAATTAAATATGTAATTGTTGGATCATTTGCTTCTGTATGTGGAATGAATTCCTTTTATTCTCTTTTGAGATATATATAAAGTTTCAACATATCCAATTCCAATTAGCACATATCCAAATTCCAATTCAATAAACCACACATTCAAATCAATTCAAACTAAATACCTAATATTCAATCACATACCCAATTTAAACTATATGGCTAACATTCAGTTACATGTCCAATCTTTAAGCACATTTGGCATAAAAACCCAAAGAAACAGAAAGTACCTCAAGACATTCAAGGGTCGGAAAAGTGGTTGATTTGGACGGTTGGAAAAGTGGGTGTGTGTGTGCGTGTTGAGTAGAACTGCTTTTGTGCTTTATGGCTGGTGGATATAGTAGATGAAACAGAGAAATAAAGGGAGGAAACATTGTATTACCTATTCAAGCAAGGGAGGAAACACTTTGCAGCAACTTTAAAAACATGCTTGTTCAAAGACATAAGCTATAATCAAAACCAAACAGAAAAATTCAATCTATTTCTAACAACAACAACCATAATTTCCTACCAAAAATAACATATCTCAACAGATTTGTTAGGAAACGATTCACAGCTATGCTCAATTCATTCAAATGTAGGAAAAAATGGGGGCACTTAAGCCACTAATTGTAACAGCAGAAAGAAAATTGAGCTACTAATTTGAAATGGCATGTTTGATACAATGAATAAGTAGAAAAACAATAGGATTTTTAGCTGCCTCATATAATCTTTTATGCAAAGCCTTAAAATGTTATGCTCAATTCAGTCAAAAGTTGGAAAAAATGGGGTTTTTGCGATGAAATTGTCATGTTTTGATTCAATAGTTTAGACCACATGGACAAAATTGAAATTGCATGCTTCATTCATTCAAAAGTAGGAAAAAAGTCAAATTTTTTGTTGGTTTACATAAATATTTTATAGGAGGTGGTAAAACGACATGCTTAATTCATTTAAAAGTAGGGAAATGGGATTTTTTTCAGTGAAATTGTCATGTTTTGGTTAAATGTTTTAGGCAAAATGGACAAAGAAGAAAGAAAACATACCATTTGGTTAAAAGTATTTTTTTTCCTTTTGATTTTGGCCAAAACAAACGGTTCTGTCTAAACAAAGTGTTAATGATCTTCTTCCCCCTGGTTTGGTACTTTGCAAAATAGCACAATGGTGCAACACCACTGCTCAAGCGCGATTTCCGAATGGGTAATGCACAGCAGACTAAAATTACAAAGAAATTTTAACCTAACATCAAATTTACCCAAACTCCAATCATTCCTCTGATTTGTTCCAAAAAATTACAAACACACTCTAATATAACGGGTTCCCAGACGTACAAAAAAAACGATGACAAAAAGTCACCCCAAAATTAAGCTACCAATCTCTCAAGTACGTACTTGATAAAAGTGAAGCATATACATATGTAAAATATGAATGAAATATGCAACAATTGTATAAAAACATGCATAAATGATAAACCAATCTTACAAACATGTTAAATAAACAGAAGGTATATAATAATAAAGAAGAAGAAGGAGAACGAAGTACTAAAAATAGCAAGGAAATTGTTTTTGGCGGAAGGAGATTTACCCAAAAAATAAGAGGACCGCCAGAGACACTGCCAAATTTGCGACTGATCAACGAAGGAACCAAAATGAAAAATATCCTCTCAACGAGGAAAACCTAGCACAGGATCAGAACCAACCCAAAACAAAATGGTTACAATTTCATCCAAATCAAGCAAAACGCAAAAGAAAAACCAAACACAGCACATACCACTGTCGGTCGCAACCCCAGAAATTGTGTGAAGCAATTTTACCACAGAGGACAAAACACCCAAACCCTAGGACAAAACACCCAAAACCCTAGGTTTATACAAATGGAAAAACCTATTTCGGCAGAGAAGCTATAAACACTGAAAGACCAACACAACAGGAAGAAAAAAGAGAAATGAAAAGGAAGTGGTATTATCAGACAGTGAAGAAAGCAGCAAAAAATATATGTTTTGCTGTCCCAATTTAGTAATTTAAAATCAAATCTTGCACTCCCAACTAAAAGTTGAAGAACCGAACCATAATCAAACAGAAAAGAAAGCAGGAAAAAACAACAGATTTCTAAGCAAGTTCAAACCATAAACAGTGAAATAAGGGAAAATTCAGTTCAAAAGGGACACTTAACTTTGAAAGAAATTCAAGCTGCCAGCTGGGAGAAATCCTCATCAATGCTTGCAGAGATAGCTTCCAGCTAGAACCAAATCTCTGAAACCAACCCTAGGTTTAGGCGTCCCATCCTGCCTCACCGTTTATCTAAAGCAGAGCTCACCAAGAAAAAAACAAAACCCAAATTTCGAGCAGCCCTACCTATTGCATTGCTCATCCTACCCCTCCCTATCTCCTCCTCCAATTTTTCCTTCTAGAAGTCCTCATCTCTCTGGCATCGCACGACCCACCTCTCTCGTCTCTCTGCCATCGGACGACTCCTCTCTCTCTTCTCTCTCGCATCGCACCACACCTCCCCTCACTTCTCATTGGCTTCATTGCAGGCTAGGCCTGCCCGTGTCGGCCATCCATCCGAACAACCCAACCACAAACAAAACACACCAACCCAGTCACAGCCCA